CATTTTGACATAAAGTGTCTACATATATCACACCCCCTAAAACACACACACACACACACACACACACACACACACACACGCTGAGAGGGAGTAACGACCATCCCCACTTCTACTAACAACACTCCTTTTGACTCTACACCTCCCCCCTCACCACCTAAACAAACCGATTTTGCATTCGAGAAGCGCGGAGGTTGTACTTCGGAATGCGCATTTTGCCTCATCGGCGGCTGCTGGATGATTCTTTGATGATCGTTGACGTCAATTTTGATTTCTATCGGCAAAGATAACCGCCTTATGTCTAAGGAGTGAGGATCTACAGGCGCGATCATAACTCGCTTCGTGCTCCTTCCCCCGTCCTCTCGCTCATCCTCCTCCCCAACGCCTTCCTGCTCATCCTATCGTCTTCCGTGCTCCTCTCCCGCTTCTGCTGCTCCACCCCCTCCTCCTCCTCTCCCTTCTCCTCCTCCTCTCTCTCCTCGCCGTGCTGATCATCACCGTTTTTTTTTCCCTCGCTCCATATCCCAAGAAAAAAAAATAGAAGGAACTTTAAAATACCCCAAGACATAATCTGAAACTCTCTTTCCCTCTCCCTCTCCCTCTTCCTCTCCCTTCAGAAGCTCTCTCCCCCTCCTCAACCTTCCTCCTCCTACATCACCGCCGTCAGCGTCATGGTTCACGTTTATCCTCACATCCGTTCTCGTCTTCGCCCCCCAAGCAGAGTTTTCCTTAGCCTCTCCTCCTGATCATGTCGTTTTCTGTGCTTGCTCTTCTCTCCCAATCGCCTCCCTCTTCTCTCCTCCCCCATTCCCCCTTACCCCCCCCTCCCTTCTCTCTCTCTCTCTCTCTCTCTCTCTCTCTCTCTCTCTCTCTCTCTCTCTCTCTCTCTCTCTCTCTCTCTCTCTCTCTTTTCCATTTTCATATTAGAGAAATCAACGAAAACCATTATCATTTGTAAGTGTAAAGCTTCACCCCTCGAACATCAACGGTAAATACAAAAAGGGAACTGACACCCCCAAATATAACTCGAATTACTCAGTTGCCCCCCCGTTCAAGCGAATCCGTCTCGGGACAAAAACCCCCAAATATCTGAAGAACGGTGGGGGCATCACCCCTTCCCTTCCTTTCATTAAAATGAAACCAGCGCACCGACATCCCCCAGGTGTACCCAAATATCTCAAGCACTGAAAAAAAAACCTTTTACAGTAAACGTATGCCAACAAGCTGCGCATCCGTCTCGATGCGTTGATCCTGACATTCAACAACAACAGCTGGCCTGCAATCCAACTGCTCAACCTCAATTGGCCAATTGGCCATATTGCACCATTTAGACACACTCGAGAGAATTTAACACTAAGCATCAAATTAACACTACTAAAAAAAACATCAAATTAACACTACTAAACATCAAAAAGCCATTAGCCAAATTTGAACAAACCCCTTCTGATCTCATCTTTTATTTGAGAAAAAACAATCTGATGCTTCCACATTTATTACAGAACTGTAGCCCTGACTAAACGGCCGACCATTTATTACAGAATTTCGCTAATTCAATTCACCCACCCACCATTCCGAAAAAACACTTGCGTTCCAAAAAAAAAAAAAAAAAACACTTGCGCCACTAAGCAATATAAGGAATTGAAATTCCTAATTCTCAAGAAACCGAAGGCCATCCATCCATCCATCCATCCATCGATCCATCCATCCATCCATCCGTCCATCCACATCCCCGACCCACGCCTCAGATCTTTACTCACTGTATAAGGGCAAAAATGAGCTAACGCAAGCCCATAACCCTAAGAAGAGATCAAAAACACCATCCCCGTCGCATCAATCCCAATGTGAGCAAGATCAACACACATTCTGGCCTTCAGCAAAACCTTGAACAACCTCTCTCTCCTTCCCTCTCCTCTCCCCTCTCTCCTCTCTCCTCTCCCCTCCTCTCGCCTATCATATCTGGCAATACTCTCTAGTCTGATCAATCAATCTACCACGAACTCTGGTCTGAATCCCACTCTCCTCTCTCCTCTCCTCTCCTCTGGTCTATCATATCTGGCAATCAACTTAGTCTGATCAATCAATCTATCACGAATTCTGGTCTGAATCCCTCTCTTCTCTCTCCTCTCCTCTGGTCTATCATATCTGGCAATAATCTTAGTCTGATCAATCAATCTATAACCACAAATTCTGGTCTGAATCCACGCTTGGAAAGAGAACCAAGAATCCGACCCATTGTAGTTGCAGAAGCTATGCACAAAATCTCGGTGGCACGAGCTTGATTGAATAGGGGATTGTTCAATCAAGATGGATGATGATGACAAGGTGGGAGAGATGATGCTAATCAATCCCTGCTCTTCGCCTACCACTGCTGAATGCCATCTCCTCTGCCCGAGTAACTGCTGGGAGAGACGATGCTAAACATGACAAGCAAGAAAGCTAGGACTCCAGCAATCGAGACGATTCCAATCAGTCTGCAATGATGATGTTGCACCATCCGCATTACGTTGGGCAAACCCATGTAGTTGCAGAAGCTATGCACAAGCACAGGGCTTATCAAGTGCCCAGTCTGGAGGAAGACAAACGCAGCATACCAGCCAAACACTGTCGTGTAGCACATTTGCACCCCAACGGTAATTATACCATGAACAACAGGCCGCCTCTGACGATAAACGATGTTGACAAAGTGGTGCAGATGCGCTGCACCGAAGAAAAGGGGAGAGAAGAAGATGACAGAACTTGGGTGAAAGCCGCCATACAACAGAAGACGACAGTTGCAAGCGCGGAATACAAGTTCTTCTCCGATCGGTGCAACGACCAAATTGCGCCAATATATAAGGTCAGCGGCCATTTCCAGCAATCCGGAGATGACACGTTGACGCTCAAGCGACAGAGCTGCCGAAAAAGGAATACCTTGAATATAGACTTTCCATTTCAGGTCGCTAACCCAGTCCATTAGGTCCATAAGAAGAGGGCCGCTGAACGGAAGGGCTGTGACAGCCACAGGTAAAAGGCTGGCCTGCAACAAATGGTCTACTCGAAACCCTAAATCATAAGCTAAAGAACCCACTCTTCTCTCCTCCCAGGATCGACTCACTCCACTAGGTCTAGTAGTAATAGCATTATAGCGTTCTCTATTCCGATCGACTAAGAGTATGGCGGCTATGGATGCCAAACCGACGCCCATGAATCGCCGCTTGATGACCGCTGGATCGTCTCGCTCTTCAGTGATGCCTTTTCCAGACATGAAGGACCATGCATAGAGACTGCCGACGAAGAGAACCGTTATAAGGGCACAACTGAGGACCGACGTTGCCGCGGCCTCAGAAACGAGACGGCTGCTGCCCATGCCCATGGCCATGAAGGCGATCGACTCCATAGCTGTTGCAGAAGACGTCATACATAAAGTCGCTGCAAGACCAGATACCCCCCCCCTTTCTTCCCCCCCCTTTCCGTCTCCCTAGGGGAGGCAAAGGCGCCAAGAACCACCTGTGGGTATCAACTACATGATGCCGACGACGACCTCACCCACCCCTCTCTCTCTCTCTCTCTCTCTCTCTCTCTCTCTCTCTCTCTCTCTCTCTCTCTCTCATCTTCTCCCCTCCATCACCAATCGAATGAGCATCGGAAATCAACACTCCAATTAATCGTTCATCGGGAAATCCAATCAACCGCCGTACATTAATTGTTGACGGAAACAAAACGCTTTTTTTCCTTTCAACTCCGAATGATGACGGCATCAGGAAACGATTTCATCTCCTCTCTCACGCTCACCACCTCTCACGCTCACCACCTCTCCTCGACCTTCCTCCTCCGCCGCCGGCGCCGCCATCGCCGTCGCCTTCGCGCTCCTCATCCGCCCTCCTCTTTCCCCCCTTACCGTCGTTATCCCCTCTTGCCGATCACATCGTCTTCTATGCTCGTTCTGCTCATCCTACTCAAGGTTCCTCCTCCTCCTCCTCCTCCTCCTCCTCCTCCGCCGCCGCCGCCGCCGCCGCCGCGATTGCCATGCTCCTCCCCATCGTAATGATCTCCTCCTCCGCCGCCGCCATCGCCATGTTCGTCATCATCGTGATGATCTCCTCCGCCGCCGCCGCCATCGCACTGTTCGTCATCATCGTGATGATCTCCTACGCCGCCGCTATAGCCATGCTCCTCCTCATCGGGATGATCTCCTACGCTGCCGACGACGCCGTCGCCGCCTCCTCTCCCTCTTGCGGATCCAACTGTTCGTCTCGGTTTCCCTTGCCGCTTATCGCCAGAACAAGAGATTCCGCCCCCCCCCCAAAAAAAAAAAACAAAGAAGTTCCCACGAAATTACCCGATTGGTACGGCAAAAACGGGATTTGAACCCGCGACGTCCCTCTCTTCTCCGCCTGCAAACGAACCTGATCTTCCTCTCCTCATCCTTGCTCCTCCTCGTCTTCTATCCTCCTCTCTGTCGTGTCGTACTTCTCCCCCTCCCCATAACATCATATCATATCGTCAAATGGGATTAAGAAAATGAAACAGGAAATAAAGATAAAGTAACTCACCTTTGGGTGGAGATCCTTGCTCAGCCATATTTTCCTCACATAATCCGGTCGCTTTCTTTGTCTCTCTCACGTCCACGACCAGAGCCACCCGCGCCTGGCTCGACGTCGCCCACACCCTCAAGCTCCAAACACGCACATACCGAACCTCAAACCATCTCTCTCTCTCTCTCTCTCTCTCTCTCTCTCGTCGATGACCACCGTGATGGCGTCGCAAACATCATCCACAGCCAAATCGGCGCGCGACACACTCCGACGCGTCACACCCCCAACTGTGCAACGGTTACCCTACACCCTACCTCGCCCTCCTACCCCTCGCCGGTGACCAGAACCCCGCCCTTCGCTCTCAGTCGGTCCGCCAGTCCGGGCCCACCACCTGTCGGCACCGGGCGCCCTTTTTTGCGGCCCCAATCCCGTGCTCCGACCGCTTCAGGCCCGGTTGAGGGGTGTTTCTTTTTTCTTTTCTTTTTTTTTTTCTTTGTTTTTTTTTCTTTTCTTTTTTTCGGTTGAGGGGTGTTTCTTTCAGCCAAAACAAAAGAGAAAAGGTCGCACTGGCACTTCAGCAAAGCTTGGCGCGCAGTTCTTCTCCGAATCGACGTTCGATGGTAGTGGCGGTTTCTCGCCCAACCAAGGGCCTCGCCGCACGGCCAGACGAGTTTCGATTCGACAGTGAAAAGAAAGTCCCGAGGTGTCAGTTGCTCGTCAGACAGAAAAGGAATTTTGTTTTTTTTTTTAAGTCATGAATGAACTCAGGTAATGACAGCATCAGCCAGCTTAGCTCACAGGCCATTGCCTTCGGTACTTACAGCTATCAAGTTCCATAACTCTGTCCAACTTCTAATCTGACATAGAAATGCAGCCTCGGTACTTACCCTTTTTTCTTTTTTTTTCTTTTTTTTTTAATCAAAACACAACTGAAGTCATTAGGAATGGTGATAAGGAGAATGGAGTCCCGGAGGGAGGTTTCTCCGGCGCGTCCCCGCCGGCGCTACGGCGTGTCGGCCCGCACGCGATTATCTCGGTAACGAAGATAGCTGAACACTCTGCAGCTCCACCATCATGATGAGGCTCAGCTTCTGTCTCCTTTCCTGCTTGCCATGCTCAAGTGGCCTGTCTCACGAAGGGATAGGTGCGACGGTAAGGACCAGTTCGTTCAGCCAGTAAGAATCCTCCATTAGAAGTGTAGTGGCTGATGATACCGAATTTTGCACTCGATACTCTTGCAACTGATAGGATGTTTCTTCTTGTTTAAGACTGATTTCAATTAGTATCGTCTTTTCCCTTGAAGCTTATAGTGGTTTCGCCCTCTTAACTTTTCTCTCACGCTACATCTTATTGACGGTTAACAGCAAAATGGAGGTAGAGAATCAGGCAGGGTCGAATGACCCTCCCGACCGTGGTCCTCATTCTCCCCCTCCTGGACCGGAAGGGGTTGACGAAAACCACGCTCGGGAACTCATACGCCTCTGCTATGAGGAAGGGATCTGCCCTTCGGACATCGACCCCGGTGAAATGGAAGTCGATGGCAGAGAAGTACGTTTTAGAGTTAATGCTTCCATTGATCGAGTGAAAATAAATTGGTTAAAAGAACGTGTTGTTACCATTATTTTCCGAGAAGGTGCTCGGTTCCTTCCTAAGAAAGTCAAAGATGATATCGTGAGGGCGTACGAGGACTCTAAACTCCAGGAGGGAAGTTTTGAGGTGGACTCCTTCAGTCGAGGTAGAATTAAGATAGAAAGTCCAAACGTTGTTTCCTATGTTGCAAAGAGCAGGGCTATTGCGTCGTGGCTGGTGACGAAAGGCCATGACTCACTCACTGTTGGTTCAGTGGAGTACAGACTGGAATTCAAACCTTGGCTTTCTAAAGCCCAACTAAGGGACCAACGAAGAGTTGAGGAACACGCATCTTTCTGGGTTGTAGTTGTCCAAGTCCCCCTTGATTCTTTCATTTATTTAGAGGCTCAAATCCGGAAGGCCATTGGCCCTGTCATTCGAACTCATCCGGTCGAGATATATCGTCAAAAACCATCACTAATTAACGTTAAATTTGATTTGGATCCTAGTGCTAGGGTGAATATGAAGGACAAGATCACGGTAATTACCGTGGAGGACGATGAACTTGTGGTCAATTTGGCATGTTTGGATACTCCACGTTGCCAAAGGTGCAGAGTTTTTTTTCACGAAGAAGCACAGTGCAGACGCTCTGTTCGGCAACCTCAAAGTCAACAACAGTATCAAGGGACTTCTCAAGCACAGGCCCACTCGCAGTCGGCTGCCTCTGCGCCTCGGTACCAAGGTCCTATGGCTTCGGGTGCTTCACAAAGTATGCAGGTTGGCGGAGTCGAACTTCTGTCTACTGGTCAACAATTAGGGTTCCAACCCTACCAGAACTCGCAATTTTAACCCGGCTTTCTCTCCGGGGACTATGCCTCAAGGCGGGTTTCATCCAGCGCTCCAGCCCCAAGACATGCCATGGCTGGCTCAGGCTTTTGCTCCTTGGCTTCAACAGATTCAACAACAGCAAATGGTCTTTCCTTCCAATCTGGGAGGTATGACAGCGGTCTCGGCGGGTATGATTAATCCTCAAGGTACCCCCCTCCCCAGACCCCAAGACCCCCTTCCCTCTCAGGGAGGAGGCCTTGGGCGAAGGGAGGATGAAGGTGATTCGCGTCAAGCTTCTCTCCAGTCGGGTGCACGGGCTGATGGAGACGCAGTTCCCGCGGATGGGACAAGAGGTCTCATGGGTGCAAGCGGAGGCCCTCGTACGAGACCCTCCATGTCTGGGAAGCAAAGAAGGCTGAGTTATGACTCAACTGCTGACCTCTTTGGCGAGAAATCAGGCTCTTCTCTTCCTCATTCGGAGGAATCTCAAGGACAATTTGTGGACGTTGGAACTCCAGGCTGCAAAACCACACGGCGGAGGACCCCGATTGCCTTGGCTTATGGCCAGATCTCAAGTGTTGACAGAAGAATTCTACCTCTTTTCTGCACAATTGCACGCAACAACACGTGGGTGATTGCATGGGCTTCTCCTGATGGTTCAGTGGCTTTTGTAAGTATCCCTTCTCCCGAGCAACCCATGCCTTCAACTATGGTTTCTCTCATCAGACCGGCTATCCTGGACCGCTTTGCTTTCCGTTTGATTCCGGAGCTGTCGATGCCTCGGCTTATTAAGGACAGCCCGGAAGGAAGTGGAAAGAAAGTCATCTTCCATGTGCCAGTGATGAATGCAAGGTTTGTCCCGGGTCAACTAGAGAGATTAGAATTGGATGGTCTTCGTCTGGTCCCTCTCACATGGCTCGTAGAAGGTAAGCAAACCGAACTCTCACGTATCAAAGCCCCACCATTAGCCTCAGCAGACTTGCTGTGTGATATCGACAATCGCTTCCTTGCGGACAGGAAACTAAACTCAATGCTCGTCCGCTCCTGCCTGCTGAAGTCATGGCTTCCCGAGCCTCAGGGAAGGTCCCTCTCACGCGGAACGAGCTCTCAATCCTCCCCACACATCCAAGGTAATGGGGTAACGGGCAGGAATGGGCAAGCTTAGGCTTCCCATATGGAACGTAAGGGGATTAGGCGATACTTCAGGTAAGCATAAGAGGGATAGGTTAAAGTCTTGGCTCTTTGACAAACGCATTCATGTTGCATGCATCCAGGAGATCAAACTTGGGGAAGAAAAGATTGTAGAGTTGGGCAATTGGTGGGATGGACCACAGTTGTGGGCCCCGACACAAGGTACGAGAGGCGGTGTCGCTCTGCTGATTCATCGTAACACATAGATAGAAATTGTGGACTTCTATGCCGATATAAGGGGCCGTTGGGCCTGGCTAAAGGGATGTTTTGACGGTAAGATTTGAATTATTGTCTCTGTTTATGCCCCGGTAGAATCCCGACTTCGTACTAAATTTTTCACGAAACTTCTGCATGTGATTCCAGATGGGGATCATTTGGTTGTGACGGACGCTTGGAATGTCTCATTAGACATCACTTCGACGGGCAGATTCGCAGAGGATAAGGTTTCCTTGTCCACCTTGATGGAGGAGCTGAATCTTATTGATCTATTCAGACTGACCCACCCTGACTCAAGGGGCGCTACTTGGTTCTCCCATAGCCGCTTACCCCAAGGTACAATTGAGCGTAGGTTAGATTTTTTTCTAATCTTGTCTTCCTTGTGGGATCATATTGAATATACCTCAGAAAGCTTTCACCCCATGTCGGACCATAAACCTGTACAGTTGCACTTGGCAACATCAGAAATTACAAGGGAAAAATGAGTTTTTCGGTTCAATACCCAGAACCTACAAGTACCTGGCCTTGTTACGTGGATGAAGGAATTCTGGAAAGGTTGGGATGAGAGTTGTCGGATGTATGACTCACTTGCGGAATAGTGGAACACCGACTCTAAAATTTTCTCGAATCTGTTGAATGTGTTTTCTCGTATTTTAGCATTTGGCCGCAACAAGGAAGAGTCATGTTTGCAGAAAAGGATTGAGTACGCTGAGCACCTTATGCAGGAACATCCTGTCTCAAATGTAGTCTGGGGCAAGGAGCGGGCCAAACTCATGTCTGAATGGGATAATTTACAATGCCAAAAGTCCGATGTCTGGATTGAACGGCTGCGGATTAAGGGGATAACAGTGAATAATAGGATAACAAAAGAAGCCTTCCAAAAACTTCTCCCTAGCCGGTCCTCGGCTCGGATGAAGGAACTTAATCATCCCTTTGATTTTGATGCCCCTAGAGCCAATGAGCTAATTCAACTCTGTGATTATGCTGCTTACTATTACCGTGATATACTAACCTCTCGCCTTCAAGGTGCTCAGATTAACTCTGAACTACACCTTGAATCCTCCCACTGGGATAACACTCAGGTACGTTTATCCCAAACTGGTAGATTGGATTTAGATCGTCCGATATCTATGGTGGAAGCTCACGAGGCACTAAAAGCCATGTCAAAAGGGAAGGCCCCCGGAGATGATGGCCTCCCAGTGGAGCTCTTCCTTGTTCTTTGGGAGGTGGGGGGGGAGAGTTTAGTGCAAATTTATAATGATATTATCACAGGGGGCAGATTAGTAGCAAATATGTGTAATGGCATTATCTCTGTGTTATTTA